ATTGTACAACAATACTTTATTATTTATTTCAAGAGAGTGAAATCAAGTGAATAAATAAATATGTATGTATGAAAGAAAAATCTCAAGTTGAATATTCCAAAATAAAACTAGCAGATGTGAAAATAATTGCAATTGGGATTGCAAATTGCCTGACTAGGTAGTTTTGAGTTATGCATAAGGTCTATTCAATTCAGTTTGATTTTGTTAAAACCTTGTAGTCGACACTTGAAGGCTCAACCAGTGTAAATGTTGGTAAATGTTCAGTCAGTAAGGACAGCGCCCTCATGTGTTGTACTTCATTAATTATCGGCCTGATCAGCAATTGGATTTGCATGGATTGTTAAAGTACGTATCCGAACATCATTCAAAGGTTTATAGTTCTTCTCGCTCACTGGTAGCTTCTCCAGATCATCAAGCGTTTCAAATCCATCAATAACTCTAAGGGTGAAAAGATATAAAGATGTTTTTGAATATGAAAAAATGTTAAAATCCAACCTTGTACAAATTTATTACAACAGGTTTCACTAGTTTCTCTCCATTGAATTTATCTGAATTTATCTTTTGGCACAACAACCAACCAAGAAATAATTTACTAAGATAAACTGAACTATTTCGTGCATCCACTTTGTAACACGGCTACCTATCAACTTTATTTTAAACAAGATTAAAATGTAGCAGATAAAGCTAGAGATTGACATCACAACTTAATGAAGCTAGATATAGGAGCAAAAATGTACTCACACGCAGTGAATATGAATATTAATCACTAATGTGTGTTCTACATTTTACAACCTTTTCAGAAAAATGGTTATTCAATGTTAAATCATAAAGCAAACACATGTTTAGAAAGAATATTAAATATACAATGCAAGCTAGTGAAGAGTATATGACCGTTGACCCTTCAACTCACTTTCCAAATATGGTGTATTTCATATCTAGATGAGGCTGTTTTGCATACGTGATGAAAAACTGTGATGCATTGGTGTCTGGGCCACTATTTGCCATGGAAACTACTCCTCTCACATTGTGCTATAAAAAGATTAAGAAAAACACAATATCATATCTCAAAACCGTTACCTTGTTATTACAGTAATCAATGATGAAATTAAGTTAAATAGTTAAGTTATGACCATATTTTGTTTTGATGAAATAATGCACATGGTGTATGTACAGAACAGTACAATACAATACAAACATGTACAGTCCTGATGACAGCATGATCTTTTTGTTTCTCAGCAGTTTCAGAAAATAAGATAATACTTTTTCTTTGTTTATCAACAACACATTTATAGCCTGTACTTCAATGCTGCAATTGGGTTGATGACATTCTTCTCAGTGAGTAATTAAACTTGAATTACTTTTACCAACAAAAAATAAGTTTGTTTGCACATACAGTACCGTAATAATAATAATATAATAATAATTAAGAGTTTGTATAGCCCCTAATATCCATCATGATGATGTCCAATGACGCTGTCAGTTCACAGAAATACTCTCTGAAACATACAAGTTTTGAATTTAGATTTGAAAATGTTTAAACTGGCTGCAGAACGAATGTCTGTTGGTAACTGATTCCATAATGACGGAGAAGCATGTGAGAATGAGCGATCGCCATGTCTTGAGTCTGGTTCTGAGCACTGTAAGTGTAGATGCATTACTTGAACGAAGAGTTCTATCAGGTTGACGGAGTTGAATCAAGTCTGATATGTAGGTTGGTGTTGATCTATGAAGTGCCTTGTAGCTTATAGCTTATCTATGCTTATGTAAATGACAGTCAATTTGAATGTTATAGTACAATATATGAGCTTTGATAGAGCAACATGGTATATAATTTTAACTGTTTGAATTTCAAAGGAGACAAATGTTTGTTAATTTCTCAAATCTCGGAAAAAACGTAAAGACAATGGCCTTTGCAAGATTTTTTTAACACAAATACCCTGAAATTATTCAATGGCAAATTTGAAAGGAGCAAAAATAAAACAGTCGGTATTGACTTGTTTTGGCGGTTACTTACCTTCAATGAATCCACAATTTCATCTTCAAATTTTTTTCCCCAGATACTTTGTCCACCTTTACCAGTGCCCATAGGATCACCAGTTTGCACCATAAATCCAGCAATATTTCTAGAATGAAAAAGTAATGTGAAATGTACCATGCCAAAATTTCTGAAGCAAATGCAACACAGGATTATCTAGGTTTTTACTGCAATTGAGAAAGGCTAAAAATGCAGATACTTTAACAATATACTGTGGAATACTTTATTTTCGCTGGAATTAATTTTCGCTGAAAGGTTTTTTGGGCGTTTTGCTTGGAATTTATTTTCATAGATTTTTGATGCGTTTAATGTGAAATATAGGAAAAAAAGGTATATTCGCTGGATTTTATTTTCACGGAATCATCCCTTCAGCGAAAATAGCAAAAATAAATTCCAAGCGAAAATAAAGTATTCTACAGTATTTGCCATCAATTTTACCACTAAATTTTGCACCAATATTATGCACATATTATTCTCAAATTTAATTATTCTTTTTAAACCAAAAGGACATAATTTACCATTGCCTGCACGTCTTGATCATATACAATACATACTTTCAGGTGGACAATGGTGTTTGCAAGATGTTAGTACACGAGATAAACACATTCCGTAGTGTTTTTTTATAAATATTAATTGACGGGTGTGACAATAATATTACATCTCCTATTATGCACTGGTGCAAATTAGGAAATTGTGGTGCCATGGTTTAGGGGAGTGGTCACAGCACCATGTCGACTAATAAATCGTGTGTAAAAACATTTGTTTGTTTACATGATATTCCAACACATGCTTTGAGGTACTACTAGAAAATCTGAGATATCATGAAATAAACACATTTGAAAGGAAAATATTCAAATATTTAACCAGTCGACTTTTGACTCTTTGAATGTTAAAGTCAATTTTTATCACTTTCCACAAAATAAACTTATATGTTTTCAATAATGTTGGGCTGATTAGAAATTATGTTTTTATGATTCTGTTGATCAAAAATGAAGAATAAAACTGTAGAAAAATACATAAAAATGAGCAGAATGTTACTTCAAAATTTTGGTGAGAAATATCAAAGATTGCAAAGGATTAAGTGACAGTAAGACATACCTGTGGAAAATGCAGTTATCATAGTAGTGACTGGCTGCTAGAGCCAGAAAATTCTCACATGCTCTCGGAACGAGGTCACAAAATAATTCAATTTTAATATCACCAACATCTGTATGTAATGTGACCGACTGAAATTCAAAATAAATATTTCAAATCAGTAAATGCTGCCACCTAGTGTTGAACTTTAAGCCTAGAACTTCAACTTTTTTTTTCCATATTATGTTTCAAAATTTTGATAAAATCTATTTGGTTCATATTACATAATAGACAAATGAAAACATTTTGGATGGAAAATGATGGCGTCAAAAATATTAAATAGTAGCCAAGCCAATTAGGGTAAAAACCTACTCATAATTTTTGTGCAAGTTTGTCATAAATAGCATGACAATGTTCATTGGTCTATTACACATGTACATGAAATCATGAAGCTATTGTTTCATGGCACCATAAAATAGCATTCTTTTGTGTGTTACCGTGACGTACCAGGTATTTTAAGAAACTTGTCCTAATATTTTTCAAAAAATGCTATTTTTAGAACAGTTCCATAGAGCACAATGACAAGACAAATTACGTTTGTTTTCACATTTTAAAACCCAGATTTTCAAAATAACAAAACAAAAAGTACCCCACCATTTACAATATATAATTTTTTCAGCCTAGGTCATCAATCTACAATTTTAAGATACAAGATATTATCTCTGCCATAGGAGCATCTGGTAAAATCGTTATAATACTAATAGTGCCAAAATGGCCACTATCCAAATTTTGATGATACAAAACGTGCGCGTGGGTGTGTTATTATGGCTGTAGAATGATCCTAATATTTTAAATTTGTCAGTGAAGACAGGAAAGCATTTGTGGCCTGAACACTGACGTTGGCCGTGTATTATTACTGATGTCGGCACGAATTCGAGCCAAATCTATAATGCCGCAAAACCATACTCCGAGAATAGGCATGTTTGAAAACCTCCAAATCAGTTTTGTGTTTTCTTTGGTAACACATTCACGTAAAATAAATAAACTGTTTTCAAAGATATTTTTTTCATCGTGATTTATGGAAAATGCAAATGGAATCCCCGGATACATGGAATAGAAAACCACCTCTCCTAACTTGTTGCTTGATAGATTCAAAGCTATTCACTGCACATGTAATAATTTGGTTGCTAAGCAAAGTCATAGCCTAAATTTATATAACATTTACACCTGCCAAACTTACCATGTTGTCGATACCCAGTACCCTCTAAGCTGCTACAAAAAATACAATAAAAAATGATATGGCCACCTTATTTTCTAAATGGATACACTCATTACAGCTAAATAAAATCAAATAGTTTAGTTAGAACAGTACACAATATTTTTATATGATTAATATAATATACATACTTCAAAAGTATGAATTTCCACAATCATTATTCTCAGATATAAATAACAACAATCCATGATGAACATTTAACGGTTAGGATAGGCGTACCTTATTTCTGTACATGCGCAATGGTGAGAAATCTCAAAATGGCGGTCTCTGCAGAAAATCTAAATTCTGCTTGGCAAATTTTAACTTCGACATTCTCTCGACAGCAACCACAGGTACTTTTTCATGTCAATCGTGATATGTACTGGATCCGTACAATTGAATTTTATTTCTTGATAGTCTGTTATTGTCAGAACGAGTATTTGTCTATTTCAGTTTCCGGGTCAGTCTGCTCATGGAGGTAAAAAGAGACCTCCATGGTCTGCTATGGTTGATCACAGTCCCTCAACATGTTGAGGGACTGTGGCCGATAGAGAGGATACTGTCACTTTAGAGATGAAAATCAAAATAAATCGATCACTACTATTCATTATTAATTTTTTCCCTGTTTCCATTTTTGCGATGTAAAAATGTAAAATGAATGTCTGTGGCGTCTTGGAATACATGATAACCATTTTCCCAGTGAATCTGTGACTGTGCCCGAAACTTGTGTATTTTGTTTTTATCTCGGATCTCCACTAATAGGTATTACCATTACAACTTTTAAAGGGCGGCTGTCGTAGTGCCGCGTCCTGTTCGATGTGGGACTCGTAGCGACGTATACAACGCGTGTAAAATACGTTGTTTATTTACATGAAATTCGAACATGTCTGTGATTGGATAACTGCTTGACATGATAGTCTTAGTAAAAGATTGTCAGATTGATAAAGCTCTCAGTTCCGTAATTTTGTATTTCGGACTCATCTAAATTAATGTAACAGTAAACTTGTAGTACATATTTTTTGAGGAAAACAATTATCACTACCATGAATTAATAGAGTTTTAAATGCAAGATGACTCAAATTGTTTTCCTATTTCCACCCTGGTAATATGTCCCATAAATAGTGTGTTCCTATCGCCGCATTTTATAGCAATTTATGAAGTACAAATTTTGCAAATTCAATGAAAATTTGGCGTTCGCAAAATAAGAGTAGTTTACAGTATTTCACATATCGAATCATAAAATGTTTTACAAAATTGTTTCTCATACTGTACATGCTTATTTACTGATTAGGAAAACGATTCTATGCTTACTAACACTTTCCAATTTCTACTAAATAATCAGGTTGTAAAATCACCACAAGAAGATATTGAGTCATCCTTGGCAACATTAAAAAGT